ATACATACATACATACATACATACATACATACATACATACATACATACATACATACGTACATACATACATACATACATACATACATACATGCATGCATGCATGCATGCATGCATGCATGTATGTATGTATGCATGCATACATACATACAGACACACATACATACATAAATATATACATACATGCATGCATACATACCTGCCTGCCTGCCTGCCTGCCGGCCTGCCTGCCTGCTTGCATGCATGCATGCATGCATACATACATACATATACATACATACGTACATACATACATACATGCATACATACATAAATGCATGCATGCATGCATGCATACATACCTACATACATACATGCATACGTATACACACATACATACATACATACATACATACATACATGCATGCATGCATGTATGCATGCATGCATGCATGCATGCATGCATGCCTGCATGCATACATACATACATACATACATGCATACAGACATACATACATACATATATACAGACATGCATACATGCATGCATATAGACATATATATACACGTACCTACATACATACATACCTTACATCCACACACAAACATACATGCATGCATACATACATACATGCATACATGCATGCATACATACATACATGCATACATGCATACATACATAAACACACATGCATACATACAGACATGCATGCATACATACATACAAACATACATACATACGTACGTACGTGCATACATACATACATACATACAGACAGACATGCATACATACATACATTCATACATACATACATGCATACATACATACATGCATGCGTACGTACATACATACATACACACATACATATATATATATATATACATACACACAACCATACATACATGCATACATACATACAGACATGCATTCATGCATACATGCATACATACATAAATATGTACATATATACATACATTGCATACATACACACATACATACATACATACATGCATACATACATGCATGCATGCATACGTACGTACATACATAAATATATACAGTACATACATGCATGCATACATACATGCATACATACGTACATACATACATACATACATGCATACATACATATCTACATACATACATACCTATGTACACACATGCATGCATACATATCTTTATGTGTACATACATGTACTTGTATACATATCTATATACATATAGAAAATCTATAAATAGATACACACGTGGGCACTCGCAATGCCCACGCGGGGGGAAGGGGGGGTCTGGCTCAGAACCTCTCCTTACTGCGACCGGTTGCATCAGTGCGTTCCCTGGGGGAGACTCCACCTGCTCAAAAACGGCGCCACAAACAGCAAGGCTCCGCCCAATGGGGGGGAGAGGGGGTACGAGGGCCCGCGCCGATCGACAAAACAATGAATAAGAGAACGATCGCAACAAGGAACAGGGAGGTTAGATGCTCAGTCTGGGGACTTTTTTTGGAGCCAATCGCTCCGCTCGTGCGTCGAAGCTGCGTCAAACGTCCGTCGACTCGAGCCGAACCTGAGTCGAACCTGAGTCGAACTTGAGACCTGAGTTGAACTGGAGTCGAACTTGAGTCGAACTGGATTCGAACTGAAGTCGAACTGTAGTCGAACAGATCCAGTAGGGGCCACATGCGAACCCTACCCCTACACCCCACGATTTCTGAGGGGGAGGGTGGGCTTCGCTTCGCTCGGGAGCCCCCGAACAACGTGAACCCCACCCTCCCCCTCAGAAATCGTGGGGGGCAGGGGTAGGGTTCGCATGTGGCCCCCCCTATCCAGGATAGGTGTGCCCCAGGGAGGCCCCCCGAGAACGAGCATCGCAGGGGGGCGTGCTCGCGTGGTACCGGAGCCGCTCCGGGCGGCAAAAAACCCTGGCGGCGTGTCCCTCGGCCGGCGCGCACCCCCGCAGGCTTTTTCTTCCCGGGCGCGCCGTCCCGGCGCAGCGCTCCCCCTCGGCATGCTGCGCCTCCCGGACGAGCCCTCACGAGTTCCACTTTCGGGGAGACGGGTTGGCCCGAGCATCCTCCCCCCTCTGTCTCGTCCTCCTCCTCCTCCTCCTCCTCCTCCTCCTCCTCCTCCTCCTCCTCCTCCTCCTCCTCCTCCTGCTCCTCCTCCCTCCTCCTCCTCCCCCCTCCGCCCTCACGAGTGCCACGCTCGGGAGGCTCGGGCTGGGCGAAAGGGGGGGATGACAAAGGGGGGGTGTGAGAAGCAGCTCGCGTGGCTGGTTTTCCAGGTGCCTCCCGGCGCCGGGAGGCGCCCGTGGATCGAGGAATGGGCCCGACGGCGGGGCCGAAGCCAGCTGCATGCAGCAGATTTCGTAGCCCCCCCCCCTTTCCCTATCCCCCCCTTTCGTTCGGCCCGAGAAACGTCAGGCTCGGGTTGGCGGGACTCGGGCTGGCCCGAGTGGGGCCATCATGAAAATGGCGCGATCCGTCTGTTGACGCGGGCTCCCGCTGCAGACGTGCCACAAAGACTGGAGGGTCGAAATCAAGGGTGCGCTCTTCAAAAAGCGTCGGCAAACCCGAAGTTTGGCGAACGCGAGTCTTACGTTCCCCCGACACTTCAAGGATGGTAGAGCCCATGTGCTCAACTGCTCAACCCGGATCGACAGGGTCATGCCTGCCCTTCTACGTTTCCACCGCTCTGGGAACGAATGCCTGGGGGACCCCCGGGGACGGAGGATGTGGAGAAACAGTAAGAACCCACAGTATGGACGCAAGGCAAGGATGCAAGACCCTTGGAAGTCCCTTTTACCATTCAGAGCTCTCTGGACTTCAACATTGGCTCCGGATGGGCCGAGGACGCAGGAGATCAAGAATAGCCAGGAGGACACAGCGCATCCTCACTATGGATTGTGACTGCAACTTGGGCCCCCATGGGAGGCCCGGACATGTCCATATCCACCGCCTCCCGAGGCCCAGGAGGGTGGCCTCCCCGGGCGACGAGGGCGGGGCAGGGGACCCCCGCAGCAAGCCGCTGCTGGGCGAGCCCCCCCCCCCCTTCTGGGGGGGGAAGAGGTAAAACAGGGCTAGGATCGGGATAAATCGCTCCAGAGCGTTCTGGAGCGCTCTCAGAGCGTTCCGGAACGCTCTGGAGCGGCCGCGGCGCCCAATACATCCTCCAAACCCGCCGATTCTCAGAGATTTCGAGTTATCCCGATCCGATTTTGCCCCGATCTTCGCGTCGCTTTCAGAGGGGAGAGGAAGCCCAGGGCAGGCTCGCGGCCACAGCGCGGGGGCGGTGCCGCTTCGAGCCGGGGCGCACCGCGCCCCCCCGGGGGAGGGGCGACCGGCCCGCCCCGGGCGGGCGGGCGGACCTCGGCCGCGGAGGCGCCGGCCCGAGAAAACGAGACAAACCTCCGAGAGCTCGCACGCCTCCGCTGCACTCGTCTGCCACGCGCAGAGGGGGGTGGAGGGAGGGGGGAGGGCTTCTGAGAAGCACCCCTGCTTCTTAGAAGGCGCGGGCCTGATCTATATGTATATATATATATACACATACATATAATAAAAAAAAGGCCAGCGCCTTCTAAGAAGCAGCCTCCTTCTAAGAAGCTCTCCCCCCTCCCTCCACTCCCCTGTGCGCGCCGCCAAACTTGCTGCCCCCGTCTTCGGAAGGAGCGGCCCCGAGCATGCCCCGGCAGTCTCTGGGGCAGGCCTCCCAGACCCGCCCGCTGCAGGCGGATGGCTTGCCCGCTGGTGATGTCGATTGTTGTTCCTCGACGTCAGGGCCAATCTGCCGGCCCCCTTGTGGGACCACAAGGCTCCGCGGGTCAGACTTGCTGCTCCCTGCTCCAGTTCCAGATTCGAGCCTCCCCGATTCTAGTCTACTGTGAATTATGGAAGTCCGCGCGGGGGGGGAGCCGAAAAAGGCCCTGGTTACCACCACCTGTGGTTCTCAAATTTCTTTGGGGTCCTGGGACACATACAAATACACGAGATTCGCGCCCCCGAAGCAGCAATCCCTAGTAAGTTACGCCATGTTCGCGCCCCCGAGGCCATAATCTTTAGTAAATTAAAATGTTCGCGCCCCCGAGGCCATAAACCCTTGCAAATTACGCTGTGTTCGCGCTCCCGAGACCATAATTTCGAATAGATGATACTATATACTCTCTCTGTCTCTCTCTCTCTCTCTCTCCATTTTTTTTCTCTCTCTCTCTCTCTCTCTCTCTCTCTCTCTCGAAAATTACACAAGATCTGCATCCGCGAAAACACGATCCCTGTAAATTACTTGTTGTCCGCGTCCCCGAGATCATAAACCCTCATAAAGTATGCAGTAGTCGCGCTTTCAAAGTCGCAATCGTAAAAGAACCCAGGATGGTACAAGAGGCCTCCGAGACGGCCCAAGAGTGCTCCAAGGCGCCCATGATGGTCCCAAGACGGCCCAAAGTGTTGCCAAGAGGCCACCAAGAGCGCTCCAAGAGTACCCCCAACATCTGCGATGGTCCTTAAGTTGTAAATTGAGGTTGGCACTCTCATATCTCCGACGGCCCCCGTTCGGAGCTCAGACGCTGCTTCATGACTGCGCCCAGGCCTCACAACATAGCTCTTGCATACCCCGTTATCCGAGAGAGAGAGGGCCGGCGGCAGGGGGCGAAACCCTGGCGGACTTGGAATAGGATAGATTTCTATCGTCTGGAAGAAAAACTGCATGGTTCATCGCAGAGCGCCAAAGACTCTCGGTATACCTCGCGGGGAATGATGATGTCGATGGCAATGATGACGATGATGGTTGGTGACGGCCGCCGCCCCCCCCCCCCCCGGGGGCTCCTCCCTGGCCTGATCGAACTTCGCCTTTCGCGCGGCCTCCTCCTGCGGGCGACTGGGGAGGGTAGGGGTGGGAGGCGAAGGGAGGGAGATGGAGTGGAGGCAGGAAGAGAAGAGAGGTGGGATGGGGAATGGAGGAGGAAGGACGAGGCACTTTTTTCGTCGGCGGCGAGGCAGAGGCAGTCCGCACCAGCGTGAGGCTAATTGGGGCAACCAAAAGGGGAATTGTCTGGCGTGCAAGAGGAAGGAAAGAACACGAAGGAGGGACAAGACTCGAGGGAATAGAGAGAGAAGGCAGGAGGGACGAGGGAGAAGAGGACAGGACAAGGGAAAAAGAGGGTGGACGGGAGGTGGAGGGACGAGGGAGGGAGGGAGGATCACGAGGGTTGGAGGAGGAGGGAGGAAGAAGAGGAGGAGGAGAAGGAGGAAGAGGATACTGATGATGATGATGATGATGATGATGATGATGATGATGATGAGGAGGAGGAGGAGGAGGAGGAGGAGGAAGAGGAGAAGAGGAGGACGACAGGGACGAGAGGGCCGACGAGGAGGGAGCAACCGAACAAACCACCTCAGCGGACAGGTGCCCAGGTCTCACCATGACCAGGTGGGCACGGACATGGCCTCTTGGATCTGATACGTGCGAGAAACACACAAACATGCATCGCAACTGCGATCCAAGTAGAACAGCTCTGACGGAGGAGGAGGAGAAGGAGGAGGAGGAGGAGGAGGAGGGGAGGAGGAGGAGGAGGAGGGGGAGGAGGAGGAGGAGGAGGAGGAGGGGGCCAGGCACACGCGTGCACGACCTGCTTGGCCTCTGCCCAAGGCAAAAGGTGTCAACGGACGCTGGCGACCGTTGCGCCCCAGAGGAAGCGCTTGCATGTTCTGCGTGTGTCGTCGCAGCAGGAGCATCATCATGATGATGAGTGTCATGATACGCTGGTGTGACAAGGCGATGGATGCACATGGAAAGCTGGCCCTCCGCATGTACATCCAGTCGTGCATCGTTGCAGGAGCATCATCATGATGAAGGGGGTCATGAAACGCGCAAGGAGCGCGTCGTGGTGACCGTCATGAACGCAGTATCATAACAGCTAAGTATAAGCATCATGATGATGAGCGTCATGAAGCGAAGCCGAAGCGGTTTCCCAGGGAGTTCCGCCTCGAGCTCGGGCGTACGGGGCGTGAAAACGACCACAGCCACTGCTTTTCTTTTGTTGCCGCCTTCCAGCCCGCAGAAACAAAGCAGTGGTTGTGGTCATTTTCGTTGAGCTTGGCACCAGGGAAATGACCACAACCACTGCTTCTTTTTCGGCCGGCTGGAAGGCGGCGCAAACAAGAAGCAGTGGCTGTGGTCATTTTCCCGTCCCGCAGGGCATCAAGGCGGCGTCCAAATCGACGGCCCGGTCCTCAAAGAGCTGACGCGCCGAGCTGACTGCGCCTCGCTGACTCCCACGCACCGCTGACCGCCGGCGACGCGCAGACCTCAGCGGGGCGAGAAGGAGGCCCTGCCTTCACACCACCGGGACTGCCTTTGTGGCTGCTCCGCCTTCACTGAGGCCGTCTGGGAATGTGTCCTGCCCTCAGTTCAGGGCAAAGAAGTCCACCCCCCTACATAGATCACCCCGACAAGCGAGGCCGTCTAGTAAACGCATCCGAAGAAGGAATCGAACAGGGCAGGGCTGTTTAGGAAACGCTCAGGGCCATTTAGGAAACGCCAAGTAGCGGGTCCGGGTGGTTTCTCCCTTCTGACTCAGAATGCCCCCATTCGCCCCGCTGTCGACGCCGCCGCCCGCCAGGCGAGAGCAGACGGACCACATCCCGCGGGGAGGGCGCGTGTGCGGCACAACCTCGCCTGCTTCCCCACCATTGCGGATTCGACGAGGAGGTTGCCCACATGGGAATCGGAACGGTCAGGGCCCGACGGCGACGACAAACCTGCACTACAACGCCACGAATATACACCATGCGGTCATACACCAAACTTTCAGGACCTGGATATTACCATAATCAAAAACAAAAAAATGATCTTGACGATGCTCACCACACAACATCACCAATCTTGCTGCGTGACCCCCCGATACCAGTGCTGCGCTCAAAAGCGCGCGGTCACGGCCTTTTTTCCATACCACGACATGCTGTGCTTTCTTAGACTCACAGGCAAACTCCTCAAGACACATGCATGCATCAGGCTGCGCCTTTCTTCCTCTATTCTCCCTCCCAGGTCGCGCACGCGGGCGCCCAGTGAGAGGAAGAAGAGGAGGAGCAGGAGGAGGAGGAGGAGGAGAAGGAGGAGGAGGAGGAGGGAGAGGGAGAGGGAGAGGAAAAAGGGGAGGGAGCAGGCGAAGGGAGGGAGGGAGGGCGGGAGGGGAAGGAGGAGGAGGAGGAGGATGAGGAGGAGAAGGAGAAGGACAAGGCGGAGGAGGAGGAGGAAAAGGGGGAGGGAGACGGGGGGGAAGACAAGGAGAAGGCCGACGAGGAGGAGGGATGCGGGAGGATGAAAGAGGATTCTGACTTGGCCTCTTGCCTCGAGTGAGAGACGCGCCCCTGCTCCAAGTGGCAGGTTGACCCTAAGCAGCAGGACAGAGCGGAGGGGAGGATAGGAGGAGGGAGGGAGGAGCGGCAACCGCGACCAAGTGGTTCTGGCAGGACGGAGCCCGAAACGCTGAGGTCGGGCATGTCCTCCTACAGGCAGATTTTGGACGAAACATTGAAAATAGTCAAACAATGAACAAAAACAGTTTGACTGTGTTTGAATACTCGTCATGCAAAGGGACATGCCTAAAGTAACGATACGCGAACCCACCGGACCGTCGGGCGGAGAGCGGGTGATCGCCCGGTCGATCGAGGAGGCGCACTGCCGTGCGCCTCGCCGAACCGGGTGCCGAACTGGCCCGTGCGAAGGCAGCGCCTGCACTCCGCAGGCTCCTCGCCCTCGCCCCTGCCCCTGCAGACGCCCGGGCCCCCGCAGTCGACAGCAGCGGCTGCCCACGGGGCTGCGCTCCTGGCCCGCGGGCCCCCTCCGTCGGCCCGAGGGCCTGCGCCGGCAGCAGGAGCACCGCAGCGAGCTGGTCGCGCAGCGGCGGCCGGATCGGCGGCGGCGTTGCCCGAGGCTGGGCCCTCAGCACGGGAACCGCCGGGAGGAGCGCCGTCGGGAAAGCGCCCGGCAGCAGCTTCCAGAGGGGCAGCGCCTCCAGCGCAAGCACCTCCATCGGCACGCCCTCGGCGACCACCCTCATGGGGAGCGCCTCCAATGGTGAGGCGCACGGCGAGGATCTCGTCCAGACTCGGTGCCTCGTCCAGCCTCGCCCCCAGGGCCCCAGGGGCGCGCCTCCACGGCTTTGGTAGTCCCGAAGCGGTGCAGTGACAGACCGTGCAATGACCTCGGAATCCCCCAAGACCTCACCGCACGGTCCGTCAGCGCACGGTTTTGGGACCCTGGAGGCTCCAGTCGCCCGAGACGTCCTCGGAGAAGGGCCCGAGTCCCCAAACCGTGCGGCGACCCCGGATCCCCACCGACTCACCACACGGTGTGGTCACCACCCCGTTTGGGGGCCCCCGAGCGGCGAGCTGCCCCTCCGGCCTGGAGCGCCGCCCGGAGGGCCCCGCCCACCCAGCACGAGGCGACGGCGCCTGCGGCCGAGGCCCTCGGAAGGGAAGGCCCTGGGGCCCCGGGCAGGGCCTGAGCCGCGCGAGCCTGCGCCCGCGCAGGCGGAGCGAGTCCGACGACAGCGACGACGACGACGACGACGACGACGACGACGACGACGACGACGACGACGACGACGAGGGCCCCCGCCCATCCGCACAGGGCGGCAGCGCCTGCGGCACCTGGATCGCCGCCCGGAGGGACCCCGCCCACCCCGCGCGGGGCGGCGGCGCCCTCGGCCGGGGCCCCCGCAGGGGCCTGCGCCGCGCTCCGCAGCTTGCGCCCGCGAGTGGGAGGGGAGGGGCGCCGCGCGGCCGACAGCCGAGGGGGCGCCGCGGGACGGAGGAGGAGGAGGAGGGGGAGGAGGAGGAGGAGGAGGAGGAGGAGGAGGAGGAGGAGGAGGAGGAGGAGGAGGAGGAGGAGGAAGAGGAGGAGGAGGAGGAGGGGGATTCGCTGGGAAGGATTTGCATCGATGCCGTCCTCGCAGTACAGCCCACACCCCGCCCCCAGCATCACCGTCGAAACCCACACAGCAACCCTGGGCGCAAGGAGGGCCGTCGCTTCACGGGCACATCGCTCGCCAAAACAGGAGGTCGCGGAATCGGCCCACCTCGCTCCAAGGTGGGGCTGTCCTTCAGTTGGCTGGGGTCCCTCAGGGCGACCCAGCTCTGAACCTTCAAAAAGCCATTCAACAGGCTCTTCCTCAGGGTCAAGGGGCTCCACCACGGGCTGCGGGAGGAGAAGGCAGAAGGAGGAATGATTCTTGGATTGCAAAGCTGTTGAAGCCGATGGCCTGTCAGCGGAGTGCGGCGCTGCAGCTGGCAGAACAGTGGGAAAAAAACGCAATAGCTCCGCACGGGCACCGAGTGAGCGAGTACAGTGACACTACTACGGGCCAGGAACTCAGGAAGGAGGCAGGAAGTGGGAGCAGGAGGAGGAGGAAAATGAGGCACCCCCCCTCGGGGGCGCCTGCCCTCCCGTCTCCTCCCCTCCGAGCGCCTGTCCCCCCTCTCCCCGGAGAGGCGGGGCGTGGTGGAGGAGGACGAGGAGGCGGCACACGCACCCGCGCTGGCGCACCGGCGCCCCGCCGCGCGGCGAGGAAGCAGGCGCGGCGCCCGAAGAGGGCCCTCGAGCGGGCCCTGCGGGAGCGAGGCGTGGCCCCCCCGGAGGGCGGGCACGCGCGCGGGGGGCACTTGCGCCCCACGGCCGGGGCCACGCTCGTGACAGCGGCACGGGCGGAGGGGGGGAGGAGGGAAGGTGCGATGCAGAGGGAAACGGAGATGGAAGCGGAGGCGGTGGGCTCGCAAAGCGAGAGTGCTGCCCAAAGTGGCGCAAGGCCTCTGGCCCGTCGCTCCGGCAACGAGGAGGCCTCGGGCCAGAACCCCGCACGCGGATGGAGGAGGGAGCAGGCAGAGCGAGGAGGGATTGCTGGATTGCGCATCCGATTCAACCTCTGGCTGATCAGGTGAAGAACGGCACTCAACTCGCCAAACGAAGCTGGAGATGAACCCCACATGGTGCACGGCAGGCGCTGGCTGAGGAAATCGATACTGGTATGGACATTCGACACGGGCGCCGAGGCAGGGTTCTAAGAGGAACAGAAAGATGCCTCAGCGACGAAACCAACGAAACGCGTCGCCCCGCAGCGCCGAGACTACAGAGGGAGAGAGGAGGGGTAGGAAGGGGAGCAGGCAGAGTAAGGAGGGAGGGAGTGGGGGGGAAGAAAACTGGGACCATGACCAAGACTGAACGCGGAAACGTCGTGTCGATCTTGGTCACCCTCGATATTGGTCAGCGTCACCGCGTGGATCATCCTGGCGAAACGACGGCGGCCGACATGGACCATGACCAAGGTCGGCATCGACACGATCTCGCGACATCTTAGTCATGGCCCTCATGGTTTTCCCCTCAAGGGAGGGAATGGAGAGAGGGAAAGAATGTGACGACGACGAGGTGATCGCCCCGTGTCCTCCTCTCTTCTCCTCTTCGCTTCCGCGAGCGCCGCCGCCTGTGCGTCCTCTGGGCGGCGCGGGCGCGGCAATGCTGGCAGCGGCGCCTGGAGAGTGGCCACGTGCGTGCGCCAACCCCCGGCCCACGCGTGGTATCCTCCGCCTCCAGACCCCTCCTCCTCCTTCTCCTCCAGGCCTCCTCCGCCTCCTCCGCGTCCGCCTCCGCCTCCGCCTCCGCCTCCTCCTCCTCCTCCTCCTCCTCCTCCGCCGTCGTCGTCGTCGTCGTCGCCGCCACCGCCGCCGCCGCCGCCGCGACCGCCGCCAACCCCACCGTCGCCGTCGTCATCGTCTTCGCTGTCGCCATCGCCGTCGCCATCGCCGTCGCCATCGCCGTCGCCGTCGTCGTCCACAGCCGCCGTCGCCGTCGGATTCGCCGTCGTCGTCGTCGTTGTTGTCGCCCGTCGTCGTCCGTCGTTCTCCGTCGCAGTCGTCGCCGTCGCCGGTGTCATCGTCGTTCGTCGTCGTCCGTCGTCGTCGTCGTCGTTCGTCCGTCGTAGTCCGTCGTCGTCCGTCGTCGTCGTCCGTCATCGTCGTCGTCGTCGACTTCGTCCGTGTCCGTCGTCCGTCGTCTGTCGTCGCAAGCGTCGTCGAAAGCGTCGCCGTCGTCGTCGTCGCCATCGCTTGTCGTCGTTCGTCTTCATCGTCCGTCGTCGTCAGTCGTCGTCCATCGCCGTCCGTCGCCGTCCGTCGTCGTCCGCCATCGTCCGTCGTTGTCGTCGTCGTCATCGTCGTGAGCGTCGTCGTTGCCGTCGCCGTCGCCGTCGCCGTCGTCGTCGGCGTCGCCGTCGCCGTCGTCTTTCTCGAGAGGGCGACGACGGCGGCGGCGGCGGCGGCGGGCGGTGGTGCGCCGCGGGGCCCAAAGACACGCAGGCGCCAGGGCCGTCCTGCGCCTCGCGCTCCCTGCGCCTCTTTTCCTCCTGGCGCAGGGGAGGGTCCGAGCATACCGATCTCGAGAGGGGGGCGACGAGGACGACGATGACGACGACGACGACGACGACGACGACGACGACGAAGACGACGACGACGACGACGACGACGACGACGACGACGACGGCGAGGAGGACGACGACGATGGCGAGGACGACGACGATGGCGAGGAAATGCCACGGGGGTCGACGAGGACGACGACGATGGCGAGGAGGAGAGGCCACAGGGGCCGCGGCCACGAGCCGCAGAAGCCAGACGACGCTCACAGCGAGGAGAGGACGTCGAGATGAGGAGGAGGAGGAGGAGGAGCAGGGGGAGGAGGGGGAGGAGGGGGTGGAGGAGGCGGAGGAGAAGGGGAGGAGGGGGGCCAGAGTAAACCCAAGACGGAAGGATATTGCAATTAACCCTCCCTCCGAGTTCCCTCTCCATGGACCGCGAAGAGGATTTACCCTCATTGCGGGAAATGGCCCAATAGGGCAAAAAGCACCACGGTCTGAGAATCCTCAACCGTGCCAAAAGAGTCCTGGGACGTCAACGCCGCGAATCAGCCGACAGTCGTAATCGTGCTGGAATGCTATGCCTGTGAATCCCTCCAGACCCTGGGGCTGAGGTGGTCTAGCGATGTATGCCTTCCCTCTTCCAAAAACCCTCTTCCCTTGGGGGAGGTTTAACCCGGAGAAGCAATTAAGGAACCCCCCGGCGTTATCATTAGCACCGCGCCGTAATTAAATAATTATTTGGGGGGGTTTTCGCCGAGCGATATTATTAGCGCCGCGCAAATGGAAGGAAAATAAATAATTCCAGCGCCCCGCCTCGGGTGGCATCCCAATTAGAATTGTAATGAGAATAAGAATACGAATACGATCTGGTGTACCCCCTCCTGGTGCCAGGATAACGCTTCCGGGTACCGGGTGCGTTATCCTTTCACCGGAGAGGGGGGGGGGGGGTCCTTAATCGCTTACTCGGGTTACCCCCCCTTCCTGGGTTTTTGTTGGATGGTTTCGTGATCGATCAGGGCGCCCAAGACCAAGAGGGCATCCGATGCTCCAAAATGGCCTCCAAGATGGCTGAAGATAGCCGACGGTGGTTCAAGATCGCTTCCGACATACCTCCAAGAGGCCCGACGAGGTCCAGAAGGCGGTTCCAATCGCCCTCGGAGCCCCCTCAGGACCCACCAGAGCCAAAGTCCTTCAAAAACCCGAGACTTGTCAATGATTTGTACCTTCTCGCCGTTTCGCTTCCGATGCGCTGGTGGGGCCTCAAGATGGCCCCAGCGTGGACCGAGAGAGGCCCAAGAGGAGCCCAAGAGGGACCCAAGAGGCCCCCAACACGGCCGCAGGAGCGCCCAAGAGCGGCCCAGAAGCGCCCCAACAGGGCTCCAGGGTGCGATGTTGACCCCCCTCCTGCGATCGATTGCCTTCAGGATGGCATCAAGAGGCCCTCCAAAGCTCCCAAGGGGACCCCAAAAGAGCCCCAAGAGGGCCACAAGACGGCCACAAGACGGGTTTGAGAGCGCCGCAAGAGCGTCCCACGAGGGCACCAAGAGGCAATTTGGCCTCAGTTCTTTCTCCTTGTGAACGACTCTTCCCTGTCACACCCCGAGGCAGTCGAAAGGGCGGGTCGGGCGTTCCGCCTGAAACTTCCTCACCATATGTGATCCTGAAACTCAGAATGCGCAACAGACTCATGGAAGGAGGGCGGGTCGTTTCCAAAATGTGGCTCTCGCCTTGGCGCCGCGCACATCCAAAAACATTGCACGAGCTTCGCTGATGGAAGGCGGGTCGTTTTCAAAATGCGGCTCTCGCCTCCGCGCCGCGCACATTCGTCGTAAAAATGTATAACAAGTTCAAGGACGGAGGGCGGTTCCTTGTCAAAATGTAGCTCTAGCCTCAGCGCCGCGCAAATTCGTCCTAAACATGTGCAAGAATCCGCCGACCCTGTAGGCGTGTGTGAGGGGTTTGTCCGCTCGAGTTGTCGTTTCCGTCATTCGTCAGCCGTTGTCTCTGTCGTCCCCTTTCAATGCGCCCCCCCTTTCCCTGGGCCCGTCGCCGCTCCCCCCCCGTTTCCCTGGGCCCGTCGCCGCTCCCCCCTCTTTCCCTGGGCCCTCCTCCTCAAGCGCTGGGCTCGTCGCCGCTCCCCCCCCTTCCCTAGGCCCTCCTCCTCCTCCTCAAGCGCGCCAGCCAAAGCGAAATTGAGCAACGTCGTCATTGACTCGACGGGAAGCCCCTTCCCTTTGATCCCTCCCCTGCCGGGGGGAGGGTCCCAAGGGGGGTCCCGGCAGGGGCCCCGGGGGGGGGGTCCTCAGCGGACGGGCGGGATTCAACCCAAAAAACTTCAACCTGAGCACCAGCACAATCTCTGAGCACCCGTTCGATCGCCAGTCAGTCCGCGCGATTGGATTCGGGCACCACCCCTCGACGGAGTCTGCTGAAATTCATCAGAACATATGCGCTGTCAGTAACATATTGGCGGGTGGCAAAAAACGGGGTGAGCAGCCGTCGCCTGGAGGAAAATGCAAAAGCACGGAGCTCACCCCTGTTGATTGACTGCTTGAGCTTCTAAGAAACCTTCCGAAGGAATCCATGTGCGGGACTCCCCTCTCCAGGCCAACACCTAAAAATTCGTTCCCGGCAGCCTACCACATGGACCGCTGAATCGAAAGCGAAAAAAACGATCTCAAATCATAGAATTCCAGGTCCCTGACCGTGTGTTTCTCGGTCGGGGCCAAAAACTCTACGTTGTCAGGGCTGCGCCAATGCCACGGCCCTACAGGCCCCCAGTCGTAGCGCAGCAGGGGGCAGACCGTGGCGGAGCAGATGCCCCTCACATGGAAGTAGCGGGTGGACGGCTTCCTGCCCTTGAGGTCGGCGACAACCCTGGTCCACGCGCACATGATGAGCTCTCTCTTGATGTCAGAGGTCGCCAGGAACATGAACCACGAATTGATGACGTCCATTGCCGCCGTGATGGCTGCATCATTGCGTCCCATGTCCAACTGAAGCTGACTGGTCAACGACCTCTGCGTGGCGGCACGCTTCAGGAAGCCCCCCAGTGCACGCCGCCACGGCAGCAGCACTGTAGGTGGAGCACCGTAATCTTTGCCAGCGCATGAAACACACAGCATGGCAGCTGCGGTCGCCAAACGCAGGGCGATCCTCTTGTGGGCCAAACTCCCTCGAGAAATATTGGCAATATTGGTGAACCTGAGCCGCGACTTTTCAACCCTCTTGTTGCGCCGAAGATTGCCTCCTCGAACACGCCCCCGATCAATGCCAAGATCCGCGGCCACCTCCTTGAGCGGGACCTTGAGGCCGAGAGCCTTCAGCTTGGACTCGAACAGAAAGCCCGCCGCCTTGCTTGATCTGGGGATGACAGACTTGGGAAAGTTGGCGAGGCCCAGCTTCTCGCGCGACTCCGATGACAAGTTAGAAACGCAAACAAGCTGCATGACCGCGAACTTCTCTGGCGCAACTATCCTCGCATTCAAATCATCCACGTAAGATCTGCCTTGACTGTGACTGATCTGAAGGAACTGCACATTCTGCCCCATGCGCAATAAAGAATACATCTTGAAACATCCCCAGCAGAACGCAAACCCGCCACCATTGCACGTCGCGGCTGACTCGGGCAAGAGAAGTTCCCCGATGCCTCGAGGACGCGGGGGGGGGGGGGGGGGGGGCGAAACGTCGCTGCGCGGCGAGGGCAAGGGCGCGCGGGGGGAAGTCAAGATCGACGGCCGCGTCCACGAGGCACAGCCAGCCCACGGAATCATAGGAAGCCTTGAGGTCCCAAAGGATTTCCATGCCAATAAGATCCTTGAGAGACAAAGCCTTCACCGCCTCGCCCCCGACATTGCGAGCGAGAGCTGCCCGTAGTGCAGAAGAGCCAGCAATCACCATCCCAATGGCCTCCAGCTCCCCCACGCCACTCACGATCCACCGGGCTGCGGATAGCTCCCCAAACTCGAACGAACAAAGCCGCGATGCCGATGGAGCGATCATCGTTCGCCGACGTTGGCAGGAGACTGATACAGGCCTTCAAGAGCTGCCAATGCCATGAAACGCGCCGCTCCACTCTACGGTACAAATCCATGAAATCATGGAGCCCATCATAAGGAGGCCGGCGTAGGTCACTGATGCTGAGAGCTTCGCATCCTTTCAGCTTTCTTGAGAAATACTCCCATGAGGGTCCTCCTATGAGATTCCACAGCGATGGGCTCGAAATTGGCGCCCATGGCCCTCCTCTGCGCATGGCGGAAAGCATCGACAATTCTGGCTGGAACAAATCGGGTGCTAGCCCATTGCCGCTGCCACCATTCCTTCCTGACCTCCATGATTTCTAAGGGGGTGGTGATCACATTCTGCGCTGCAGCAATCTCGTTGATGGCGACTGCGTGGCGCCTGGTAAAAACGCACGGCCTGCCAGGCGAGGTCGAGGACATCGAACGCATCCATGGATCAAAACCTGTTCGAGCTGCCGTGGCTGAGAAACGCTGCGCACTTGGTGCATTGTTCTCAACTGTCTGAAGAAATCGCATTCCTGCACTCGGCGCAAGATGCCACTCCACATCCGCCGAGAAGAGGATGACAAGGGGAGGGCCGCAGGTACAGTGGCGATCACCCCCTGATGCGCGCAACGATTAGCAGCCCTCTCCTTCCATCTCCATCCGGTCGCACCAGGTCCTGAGGATGGGAAAAGGGTTGCGTCCACCATTTGGCGGCTGGGTCGGCCTGTATCTGAACATCGTTGGCCCCCATGATGGGCGCCATGCGAATCGGCATTGCCCTAGCACGTCCTTTGTGGGACCGACTCTTCTCCATGGGGATGTTGTGGCCATGGATGTGGAACTCCTCAAGATTGGTGACCCACTTGGCCCGCTGGTTCCCCGCGTCGGCGACAGCCTCGGGGCCAACTTCAAAAGCCAGAGATTCCTCGAAAAATGCCGCAGGTTGCGCTCGCACAGCCCGGTGTACAGGAGTGCCAGAGACCATTGCCCAAAAATAAGACAGGGTGCTCAGCCCTTTCACTCTGATGCGTTTCGGGAGGGCGGCATGAGGTTCGCAAAGCTCTGGGCCAGGGCCCATCACTGGAGGGCCCCCCCCATCCTCGTCGGCCGAAGACCCCCCCCCCCCAAGTCTGCGCAGACCAGGCGCGGGGGGGGCAGGCCAGGAGCAGGCGGTCTGAAGGTGATCCCCGCTTCCTTCTTGGCCCTGCCATGCTTCGCCTCGCTACTTGCCGCTGCTTTTGTTGACCCTGGACCTCTTGCTGACCGGGTCGGGCCCCCTCGGCGGCAGCGGCTGACGAGTGAAAATGGCGGGCAAGGAGTGCGAGAGAGCCGATGCCAATTCTGCCCCAGCTTTGAGCTTGATGACGAGCCCGTAGCGCGCCTTGCCCGCCACTGCGTTCCTAGCCATGATAACACTAACATCTGCAGTGGTCGATGGAATCATCCATCTCGCGCGCGGGGGGGCAATGCCATAATCTATCATGGAACCTGAGCGCAGCGCACAAATACACTGGACATCGGCGGGAACGACAGGGACTCCACCAATCATAGTGGGCCAGCCTGGCTCCATCAGTTTAGAAGGCGTCACATTCCAATCTCCAAATATGACCCATGCGATGTCCAAGCTCTGGATGAAACTGCCAAGAAGAGCGAGCTTCTGAAAATTGACTCCCTTGAATCCGACGGACGTCGCCAAATATACTGCAACCAAACAGATAGTAATGTCATTGATTTGCCAGACGATGGGGGCGAAATCGAGGAAGTCCAGATGCCCCTTCGTCTTGGTCGCGTCTCTCATGCCGAGCTGCCATGCTTTGTTTGAAGCCAGGCGTCGAAGGAAGGCAGTAGTGAGACCGCTGCGCAAGCCAACTACAACTCCGCCAGGCTTCTTTGTCGAGGCCGCACGGCGCAAGGGTGCGCAGATCGCGGGGCATCCACTCTTCTTCCAGCGCCGAAGGAGCTCGCCTGCGCCGCCCTCGCCAGCGCGAGTCTCCATCTCTCCATCAACATCACGCCATCATACTTCCGCTCCTCGACAAGACCTCGCGCAGCAGGTTCCCATGTTGAGACTTCGCACATAGATGATCCACTCCTTCTCAGCGCCAGGGTGGATAGAGCCAACAACTGGAAACTCATTGGGCCTCGAAGCCTGGAACACGTCGTTGAAGCATGGAAATCTCGTCCCGCCGTAAGTTGGCATGGCCAATTCCCCAGCAGAGCCGTCGACTTGACCGCGTACCTTTGTAGATGAATCACCGCCCGCGCATTCGGGGCCCGCTCTGGCGCCCCTGGGGGTCGACGGTCTCGCGCTCAGTCCCAACCGGTCCTCCGAAAGGGCCGATGGATCCGAACGGAGTCTCAGTCGGCCCCCCAAGGAGCGACGGTCCATGCCCAACCCCAGTCGGTCCTCCGAAGGGGCCGACGGTTCCGAGCAACGTCCCAGTCGACTCCTCGCGGGGCGCCTCCCCTTAGGCGCTGCCGATGTAGATGGACGGCCGCTGGCATCTTCCTCGCATTCACCACGGCCAGTCACCCCGACGCGTAGTCCAGCAGATCCGATACAGGAGCAAACCGCCGATGTAGAGGAGAAACCGCAGTCATTGCCTGCGCTGGGATGTCCACAACGCCAATCCCGATACTTGTCAGAGAGGCTGTGGGGAGCCCTGCGCATTCGCATCTTCTGCATCTCTGGTCCGCATGTCTTCTTGGAGAGGCGGGGGCCGGGATGGCTGGCCATCCCCAGGAGGAGCTGGAACCGCCGGCGCGGTTGCCGCAGCCCGGGCCACGGGGCCTGCCGCTCCTGAGGGCCCAGCGGACCCTTGGCCTCCATCATGGGTCGGGAGAGGCTCTGACCTGCGCTTCTTCCCGTCGAGGCGCCCCACGCGCTTCTCGCGCTCCCCCCGTTGAGCGACAGCCTTGCGCATGGCCTCCTTGAACAGGTTCTAGAGAACATCCTGCATCTGAGAGACCACGAACCGAAAATCCGAGCCTTCCGCTCCAAGAGGCCTCCTGGACGCCCAAAGAGGCTTCCAAGAGGCCCCAACAAGCGGCAAGGGGCCCGAAAGAGACCCCAAGAGGCTCGACAACGACTCCCGAGAGTCTCCAAGAACGCCCTCGAGAGGCATCCAACGAGATCCCAATGAACGTCCACGAAGCCTCAGAGCGCCAAAACCATTGATTTCCTTCGGGTTTTGCAAGGTCGTTTGCCTCCTCGACTTTTCGCGTTTCCGACGCTCCAAGACGGCCCAGGAAGCCTCCAAGACCACCCCAAGACGGCCCAAAAGGCCTCCAAGAGAGCCCCAAGACCGCCCAAGATGGCCCCACGACAGCCCAAGAGGCGCCCAAGACGGTCCAAGAGGACCCCAAGAGGGCCCCAAAAGGGGCCCAAGATGGAGACCACGAACCGAGAATCCGAGCCTTCCGCTCCAAGAGGCCTCCTGGAGGCTCCAAGAAGCCCCCAAGAGGCCCCAAAAGGCGACAAGGGGCCCGAAAGAGACCCCAAGAGGCTCGACAACGACTCTCGAGAGTCTCCAAGAAGCCCTCGAGAGGCATCCAACGAGATCCCAATGAACGTCCACGAAGCCTCAGAGCCACCACCCAAGCACGCCGACCGAGCAGCACCCCATTGACAACGATCACACGGGCACTCGACAGCCATGCACCAATACGGGCCGGCGGAATGAGCGAAGCGATTACATAGTGTGCGCATAAAGACATACATACATATATAGACATACCTACAGATCTACATACATGCATACCTACATGCCTGCCTACCTACCTACATACATAATTACACACATGCACACACACACATACACACATACATGCATGCATGCATGCATACATACATACACACATACATACGTGCATGCATGCGTGCATACATGAGCATAGGCATACATACATACATACATACATACATACATACATACAAACATACATACATACATTCATACATACATACATATATACATACATACATACATACGTACATACATACATACATACATGCATACATACATACACCTACATACACATATACATATACATATACATATACATATACATATACATATACATATACATATACATATACATATACATATACATATACATATACATATACATATACATATACATATACATATACATACATATGCATATATATACATATTCATATACATACACATATACATATACATATAAATATGCATATACATATACCTGTACATATACATATACATATACATACATGCATGCATGCATGCATGCATGCATACATACATACATACATACACACACACATGCATGCATACATGCATACAGACATATATACATACATGCATGCACACATGCACGAATGCACGCATGCATACATGCATACATGCATACATGCATACATGCATACATGCATACATGCATGCATACATACATACATACATGCATACATGCATACATGCATGCATACATACATACATAGATGCATGCATGTATGCAGGCAGGCAGGCAGGCAGGCAGGCAGGCAGGCAGGCATACATTCATACATACATACATGCATACATACATACATACATGCATGCATGCATGCATGCATGCATGCATGCATGCATGCATGCACGTGCGTATGTAGAATCACCCACACCTCAAAAATGCACTTGTCCCACCACAGACACACACACACACACACACATATCCGCGCGCCGCCGGCGGGCCGGCCGCCCCGCTCCCCCCCCCAACCCCTCCCAGCGGGTCCTCCTCGCGCTGCTTGCGCTCCTTCTCTTCTCGCCAGCGCTGCCTGGCCGCAGCCTCTTCGGCCGTGCGGCGCCTATCGGCCTCGCGCTCCCTCTCCTCCTTCTCGCCCTGGGGCGCCGCACTGGAGGCCTCCCTCCTCCTCCTCCTCCTCCTCCTCCTTCTCCTCCTCCTCTCCTCCTCCTCCCTCCCTCCTCCTCCGCCTCCTCCTCCTCTTGCTCCTCCTGCTCTTCCTCCTCCTCCTCCTCCTCCTCCTCCTCCGATGGGGTCGGAGAGTCGCGAGGCATCGCCGATGCATCGGCGGCGTCGGCGACGCATGGCGCCGTCGGCGTGGAGAACATCGGGCTCCACATGGAGCAGCATCGGCAACGCCTCGGCGAGGCAGCGCGATACTCCGACCCCATCTACTCGGACCCCATCTGGGAGGAGCAGACGCATGGGCCCCGGGCATCCAGCGCCTCGAAACAATCGGCGCGCCCGCTTCGCCTCCGTTTCTTGGCCTCTGGAGGCCAGTTTCGTGCCACGGCACCGTCAAGAAAGACTCGGCCTGAAAGACCGGCCCTCCTTGAAGGGGTCCAGAGGTCCAGGGGGCCCACGCATCGAAAGAATCGAGGCGCTGGATGTCTGGGGGGCGCGAGGGGCGGCGTGCGAGCAGACAGATCTACGAGCACGGCGCCCAGCGACCAGTCCAGCCGCAGGCCTCCAGGGCTTCTGCTCCAAGGAGGCGCAGGAAGGCGGGTGGCGCCAGCGAGACGCGAAAGGGCACGACCGTCAACCGTGCACCGCACACCACGTCTGGACGCCGCTCGGCCCCGCTGCAGCGCGGCACGGGTGCAGAGGACCCCACGTGCCTCGCCGATCCCCGGCCAGGCCCGTCCCGCTCCCAGCGCCGGAGAAAACGCCCCCGCGGCGTGGCCAAGAAGGCATGCACACCGATCCTGGGCAGCAGGAGGGCATTCCTATTCGCGGCGACAACGCGCGTTAGGGAGGGGGAGGGAGGGGGGGCCCGGGGGGCACAACGTGACCCTCCCCCCCCCCCGCCGTGTGGGTCTCGCACCACAGACTGGGGTGCGGGACGCACTGCGGCAGTGCCGGGGACACACAGGGGGGGAGCGTTACGGTATATAGGGGGGCGAAGTATGGGAGAGGGGGCGGGGCATCACGCGCGTTGTGACCCAGAGGGTTCTTGTGGCGGGTGTGGCGTTGGCCCTGGAAGAAGGCTCTCTTCTTCTCCTCCGAAGAGGGCAAAGGCGGGCGGGGGCGGCGGCGATGCAGGACGCGACACGGACGGCACCACTCCTTCGTCTCGAGGCGTGTTCTGGCGGCCCCTGGATCCTGGAGAGGGCCCCGGGCAAGGCGAGACGGCAAGCCTCGGGACCCATTTCCCACGCGCGAGCCCTGGAGGCAGCAGAACTGTGCACATCAGGGCGCCCGAAGTGGGCACGGAGGAAGAATTGGTACGATTTGAACGTTCGTCGACTTGAGTCGAACTTTAGTCGAGCTAGTCGAGCCAGAGCCGAACAGATCCGTTCGTAGACCCCAGGAAAAAAAGTTCCTAAAACTAACATCTGACGGGCTCTGGAAACCCTGAATCCACTAATGTTGCCATCTCTCGGGGGTGCGTTCTGGTCCGAGTAGATGGGGTCGAAGGATCGCGCCGCATCGCCAATGCATCGCCGATGCATCGACGATAAATCGGCGACGTCGGCGATGCATCGGCGACGTCGGCGTGTCGAAACACGGGCTCCACATCGAGCCGCATCGTCCATGCATCGGCGATGCATCGCGATCCTCCGACCCTATCTACTCGGACACCATCTAGAAGTTCTGGAACGATGCCCAACAACAGATGTTGCCCAAAAACGGCCGCTGTTGGGCAGGCATGAACCATGCCTGCGGCGGCACCGACAGCAAACCATGGTCAAAATGGGCAGGACCTGCTGCCGTCGGTCATCGCACCACTGGACTTTACAACAAAAAGGGGGGGTCTGATTTTGGGGGTTCTGCTTGGAGCTATCTTGGAAGTTCCGGGGGGTCTGGATATAGGGCCGCCCTTTCATGGCTGGTCTGGAGGGGTCTGAAACTGCTCGTCCGGGAGGGTTGTGACCCCCTCCATTCGATTACGAAACGTGGAGGAATTATTTCGCTCGTCCCGATGCGACGGGCCATGCCTCGGTCGAGGGCCGGCTGACGCCTGGGGAGGCACAGGTGTCGTGTGCGGTGTGAACCCAGGCCGCTCGCGGACAGGCGGCCCCATCGTGGCCCTGCACCTGAAGACAGTCAACATCAAACCATGAAAGCAAGGGTGCACCGACATCAACCATCGACGTCTGCGTGCAAGAGGTTTTTCTCTCTGCCACTGACCTGCCGTTGGGGGGTGTGGCTGCGTGTCGCATTCTGCCTTCTGGAGGATTTGAGCATCCTCTCTCCCCCCTGTTCCCTCATTCCTTCGTTCTGCCCCTCCCACCTCGTTCTCCTCCTCCTGTTCCCTCTTTCCTCATCCTCCTCCACCTCCTACTTATCCACCCTATTTCCTCCTCCTGCATATCCTCCCATCCTCCTCCTCCTCCTCCTCCTCCTCCTCCTCCTCCTCCTCCTTCTCCTCCTCCTCCTCCTACTACTACTCCTATCCTTATTCCTTATTAGAATATACTCCTACTCCCCCCTCAGGCCGGCAGATAGCGGGCGCATCCGGGTGGTCCCATCCTAACCTATAAAAAACCATACAAAATCAACATGTTTCTTATTTTTTCCTCTCGACATGGACGTCCTGTCGTCCACGGCGATAATCCATTGCAAAAATACCACAAAGAGCACACGCGCGCGTTCATGTCAGAATCCTACCGAACACCGTGTGTTTGCAAGCATTTCAACATAAAAACATCAAAAACCCAATGCTTTTTCACAAAAATTGTACAAATTTCCCGCCCGGGCTCTCTTGCTGAAATCATAGGAAAACCATAGGAATCTTAAGAATTCGGTCAAATCCAGCGATTTCACGTCATCGCGCGGTGCACTCGCGATGCTCTGTCATGCACCCAGGCCGCGAATCCTGTGCAAAAAATACCACAAAGAGCACACTCGCGCGTTCATGTCAGAATCCTACCGAACACCGTGTGTTTGCAAGCATTTCAACATAAAAACATCAAAAACCCAATGCTTTTTCACAAAAATGCTTTGGGGTGTCCTGTCAGACCGTCGGGCTTCCTCCGGCCACCTCTGGCTTCCTGCGGTGTACCGGGCCATTCTCGACTCGTCTGGCAATGCGTGCGCGGCATTCAACACGCGCTCGCCAGTTCCCGTCGGCAACCGCCATCGCGGCCGCATCAGCTGTACCAAACCGGCTGGCCGGTGTGACTTCGGCCCCCAGTTGTGCCAGCTTTGCTTCTTATGTTGTGGGAGGGCGGGTGGGACTGGGCATGCCATGCTTGACTCGCTCGAGCTGGCTAGCTTGACTCCTACTCCTACTCCTACTCCTACTCCTACTCCTATACTACTCCTACTTCCTTATCATTCTCTACTTCTACTCCTATCCTACTCCTTACTACTTCTCTCCTCTCCTCTCCGTCTCCTCCTCCCTCCTCCTCCACTAATCATCATCATCATCATATCATCATCAATCTCATCATCATCATCATCATCATCATCATCATCATCTATCATCATCTCATCATATCAGCATCAGCTTAGCATCAGCTCAGCATCAGCACTCAGCATCATCATCATCATCTCATCATCATCTCATCATCATCATCATCATCTTCATTCATCGTCTCCTCCTCCTCATCTTTCTCCTCCTCCTCTCCTCCTCCTCCTCCTCCTCCTCACTCCTCCTCCTCCTCTCCTCCTCGTTCTCCTCCCCCCTCCCCCCCCCCCCCCCCCCCCCCCATCCTCTTCGTTTCTCCATCCCTCCCCCCGCCATTCCCGCCCCCCGCCCCTCTTCCGTTTCCTCCCTCCCCCCTCCCTTCCACGCCCTTTTTCCACATCCCTTGCACCTCCCTTCGTTCCCACCCTTCCCCTCCCTCCTCCTGACCACCACCACCAAAAGAAAGTGCAGGAGCAGCAGCATCACCATCTGTTATCTTAATCACCCTCACCACCTCTAATCAGCAGCAACAGCACCACCATTACCATTCACCAACCACTATCCTCATCATGAAACACCGTCCTCAATACCACCATCCAATCACCGTCACCACCGCCACCAACATCACCACCAGTAGTTGACCATCATCATCACCATCCTCGTCGTCGTCATCGCCGTCCGAATTACCATCACCAACCACAATCTCCACCATCACCACACACACAATAAAAGAACACAACAAGAAACAGTAAACAGACACAATTAAAAACAACAAACAAGAACAAGAAAAGAACAAGAACAACAAAAACAAAACAACAACGACAACTACAACAACAACAACAATAACCACAACAACAAACCACAACAACAATAACAACAACCACAACAACAACAAGAACAACAAACAACACCAAACAACACAACGCAACAACAACAACAAATAATAATATATAATTCGAAGATGTTCGCCTTATATGTCGAGTGTCCAAGTACGAGTATTTCGCCAAACCCTCGATATCCGCCCTCTTCGTCTTCGATCGAAACCTTTTGGGGGGTATACCTTTCTTGCCTGCAGGCCGGGCCGGGCAAGCGGCGGGGCGGCCGCGGACAGTTGGCCTGGCCAGCGGCAGCGCTGATCGGCGGGGCGGCCGCGGACCGTCGACCCGACCCCAAGAGGGACGGACAGGGGACCGACCACGACGACGACGACGACGACGACGACGACGACGACGACGACGACGACGTCGAAGACGACGGCGACGACGGCGACGACGAGCGAAAGCGTGAGCGAGAGAGAACGACAGCAGGGCCACGAAGGGCACGAAGTAGGCCACGAAGGGCGACAGCGGGGACACGAAGGAAATGCGTATGGGGCCACGAAGAGCGCGAACGAGCGGGGGCCACGAAGTGCAGATAATGCGGGGCCACACAAGGCCACTATGGGGCCGATGAGGGTAGCAACTGGGTGAGGGTAGCAACTGGGCCACGTAGGACAGTGAGGGGGGACACAACTGGCGACAGCGGGGCCACGAAGGGCATGCACATGGGGCCACAACGGGCGCGACTCCTGGGTGCCTGGGTGTCGGGAGCGCGGCGCTTGGGCAAATTGCAAGAAATTCCAACGCAAGGCCATTCTTCAGCAAGTTGCAAGCAAGTCTCCAGCGAGAGCGCGACTCCAGAGCGCCGGGAGAGCGGTTCCTGAATAAATTATAAGGAAGTCCCAAGCGAGAGCGCGATTCCTGAATCCTGAATAAAATGCGAGGAAGTCTCGGGCGGGAGCGGGGGTCCTGGCTAAATTGTAAGGAAGACTCAGGCGGGAGCCGTTGTTGTTGTAACCCGGGGGCCAGGGGCTCAGTTTGAGCAGGAAGACTTTCCCTCTCAAAAAACAGGGTTGGAGCGTCGAGGGGCACACTTTGTACTGGTGGGGGGGATCAACAATAATTATTCTTCAGACATGAGAATTCAGCAACAACAACAACAACAACAACAACAACAACAACAACAACAACAATTACTAGCACGTAGGGACACACCGTTCTCACCAGTGCCAGGGTTTTCATAGGAGGCGGGCAATACCCCCACTTTGTGGGGGGGCCGGTTCAAGCTCTACCAAATTTCCAAACGACTCTTCGCCACCACCCACACCCAGCGTCCCGCCCTATGACGTTCGGACACTTTCACTTCGTGGCATGCGGACGACCGTGGCTACTATTCAGGGCCCCGCGGCCGACGACGACGGCGTGCGCGCGCGAAGAAAGAACGAATGTGTCCCGCATGGTATTATTTGACAGGGATGATGGCCCTGGCAGGTGCGCAACCGTTGTTGCAGAAGTTCGAAAATGTTGCTCGCAAAAGCCCGTTTGACAGAAATGATTAAAAAGTGTTGGGTTTCCTACGAATCCGCAAGAGCGCGCGGGATGAGATTTTGACATTTTTTTGTTGAAAAACCATTGGTTTTTTGTTGTTTTTATGTTGAAATCGCTCCGAACACTAAGCTTTTGGAAGGATTTCGTCTTGCGCGCGCGAATGTCCACTTTACCTTGTTTTTTGCATGGGATTCTTGAAATTTGATTATATTAGAACAAGAAATGTCACTGTTAGGGCTTATTTTTGAAAGGGGAAGAAAACGATCGTAAACAACACAACCGGATCGGCCTCACCCTTGTTGCCTGAGACTGTCTCAGAAAATGCTGAAAATGAGGCTGCGGCCTAGGCGCGGGGGGGTGGGTCGTTGCCCCCCAACCAGGGGTCCCAACAATAATTATTCTTTAGAAGTAATAATGTTCAACAACAACAACAACAACAACAACAACAACAACAACAACAACAACAACAACAACAACAACAACGACAACAACAACAACAGCAGCAGCAGCAGCAACAACAACAACAACATCAACATCAACATCAACATCAACATCAACAACACCACCAGCACCACCACCACCACACGCACCACCGTCATCCCTCCTCCTCCTCCTCCTCCTCCTCCTCCACCTCCTGCCGCCCACGGCCGTGGCGGACCCGGCGGCTCTAACGGGGGCCCCCCGCAGCAGGCGCAGCTGGTCCGCGGCGGGCACAGGGAAGACGAAGCTCCATCGGGCGGAGGGCGAGGGAGGAGGGCCCCCCACAACAGGCGCAGCTGGTCCGCGACGGGGGCCCCCCACAGCAGGCGCAGGAAGACGAAGCGTCATCGGGCGGAGGGCGAGGGAGGAGGCGGAGGGCGCAAGGAGGACGCGGCGCTCGCGCGCGGGGAGGCCGGCGGCGGCGCCTCTGCTGCCAGCCGCCGCTCCTCGGCCCGCCGAGCCTTTCGCTGGGATGGGGGGGGGGCTCGAGCATCGGGGCTCGAGGGTCGAGGGTAGGAGGGCCGAGGCCCGAGGGTCGAGGCTCGAGGGATCGAGGACAGGAGGCTTCGAGGATCGAGGCCCGAGGCTCGGAGGTGGGAGGCTCTAGGCTCGAGGAGGCGGGGCAAGAGGCTCTCGGAAGCTGCGGGGGCGGAGGTTCGAGGCTCGAGGGTCAAGGATCTGGGCATCCCCCCCTTCTCTTCAAGACAGGGTTCCGGCAACCCTGCACAAGCAGCACGCACGCGCCAACGACCAAGCCAACCTGGAGAAGGCGAGCAACCGTTCGGAGCCTCGGTTCGGTAGGGTGGCTGCGAGGGACGTCCACGAGCCCTTCCCTCTATTACGACGACTACTACTACCACCACCACCACCACCACCACCACCACCACCACCACCACCACCACCACCACCACTACTACTACTACTACTACTACTACTAC